AGCAGGCTCCCCGCTGAGCAAGGAGCCCGATGCGGGGCTCGATGCGGGGCTGGATCCCAGAACCCTGGGATCACGACCTGAGCGGAAGGCAGCCGCTTAACCGACTGAGCCACCCAGGCGCTCTTATGTATTTATTTATTTGAGAGAGAGAGGGCACAAAAACGGGGGAGGAGCAGAGGGGGAGGGAGAGGGGAGGAGGAAAGAATCTCAAGAATACTCTGCTTTGAGCACAGAGCCGGATACAGGCTCAATCTCACAACCCTGAGATTATGACTTCAGCCAAAATCAAGAGTTGGATGCTTAACCAACTGAGCCACCCAGGCACCCTGAACAGTAGATGCACTTTTTTAAAAAAAGATTTTATTTATTTGACAGAGAGAGACACAGCGAGAGAGGGAACACAAGCAGGGGGAGTGGGAGAGGGAGAAGCAGGCTCCCGGCTGAGCAGAGAGCCCGTCGCGGGGCTCTATCCCAGGACTCTGAGATCATGCAAAGTGGAATGTGTCTTCTTTGTACGAATTTATTAATTGGTGAAGTTCATCGTAGTTTTACTCTTTGGGGCAAAAATACCTTATTCCAGGGTTTGCAATGATTTGGAGCTTTATCCCCCTGGATTCAGAGGGAGATTGCAGAATATAGTATTAATCTGCCTATTGATAAAAGCCATTGTGTTCCCCAGCGCATGCGCAGTGGAGATAAAGCCCCTCCTCTGTCCACTCAGAAAGGGGAGACCATTTCCTGCTCCAAGTGTGGTCGCGGGAATCGCCGGGAGGCTTGCTTCTGTGACTGGTGTGGATCCACGGTGGGTATTTTAAATCTGAGCTTCTTGGTGCCGAGGCCTCACCACCACCCTAGAGAGAGCCAGTTTCCTCCTCTTCCCCTGCCTTGCAGAAATCACTTCTTGGGATTTGAGTACTAGCACCTATTTACCTAAGAATCTGGGGACAGAGATAATTGATTCTGTTAAATTGAGAAAGCTCTGTTATTGCTGTTTTGCTTTGCATTTCTTTGAGGTTAAACTTTTTCAATCATTTATTGACTCTTGGTATTTCTTCTTTTATGAATTGTCTACTTATCTTTAGAGAGACAGAAAGAGAAAGAGCACACCAGTGGGGGAGGGGCAGAGGGAGAGAGAGAATCCTCAAGCCGATTCCCCACTGAGCCCGGAGCCCGAGATGGGGCTCGATCCCAGGACCCCAAGATCATGACCTGAGCTGAAATGAAGAGCCAGATGCTTAACCCACTGAGCCTTTACCAGGCACCCATTGCCTTTTTAATGAAACACTTAAAGTCATTTCTTTGAATAAGTGTCGCATGTAAATAATATGGCAGGTTTCATGTGAAGGGTTAATCTCCCTTCTCATCCCAGGCCCACAGCGCCTATCCCCAGAAGCAATCACCGTTACCTAGTGTGTGTGTTCTTTGAGCCATTCAATGCATTAATAAGTAAACTAGTAGTTTCATAGAAACACTAATTCTCTTCCTTTCACCTAGCAATGTACCTTGTTAGTAACTTCCTCATTCTTTTCAGTGGCTCTGTAACATACCGCCATCTGTCTGTATCATGATACATTTAAGCCATCCCCTATTGCTGGACATTTAGGTTGTTTTCCAGTTATTTTCTCTAAAACCACAATGCTGCAGGGAATGGTCTTAAATATACTTCTCTGTGTACTTGTCCGTCAGGAGAATAAGGTCTAGAAGGTAGACTTGCAGGGTCAGGGGTATAGGCTTATGTTATTTTGATGGCTGGGGATTGTATGGTATGAGAATAATTTACGTGGGAAAATTAGGACTCTAATATTTATGAAAGTGTGAAAATATTTTCTGTCTTCTAGCCGGGCATTTCTGCTTGCTACTCTGTTTGCCCTAAATGTGGGGCCAGCAATCACCCATCTGCCCGATTCTGTGGTTCCTGTGGTATTTACGTGAAGTCCTTGGCAAGACTTAGCCTGGACAACAGCCTGGCTCTAGCTGCTGGAGAACTTGGCCCTTTTGCTGAGGTGAGGCCTCCACTGTAGGAAGCACTGGTGCCCGGGGGACGAGCTTAAGACTGAATTTATTTCCTCCACCTTGTGGATCAACCCGGGGAAAGACAGCCGAAACATGTAGACCTTTCCTTTGGATTTTCAACTCGATGTGTAAATAAATTCGATCAATTTAGGCTTTAAACACTTGAGTGATTTCTTCAGAATTCAAAGATTTATCTATAGTAGATGGAGGTCTAATTGCATTTGCAAGACTAATAATATAAATAATGGAAATCAATACAATGTCATGAGGGAGAAATGGATTTAAAATACATGAGACAGGCATACTTCTTTTTTTTTTTTTTTTAAGATTTTATTTATTTATTTGAGAGACAGAGAGAGAGAGAAGCATAAGCCGGGGGTGGTGGGGCGTGCAGAGGGAGAAGCAGACTCCCCACTGAGCAGGGAGCCAGACACAGGGCTCAATCCCAGGACCCTGGGATCATGACCTGAGTGGAATAAAGACACTTAACTGACTGAGCCACCCAGGCGCCCTGAGACAGACATACTTCATGAATCTCTTATGTAGCCTACCAGGAACTTTGCTCCTGCTCTTTTACATTTTAGAAAACTTACATCAAGCATATGAAATTGCTTTTGCCATTTATAACAACAGCGCACAGTTTAAGGAAAATCTTACAGGATTATCTTCAGAAGGACTTAATCTCTAACAAGCTTGGCGTTAGCCTTTTATAAATTTCTCTAAGCTACATAAAGGGTTTTCAGGTTTCTTTATAGCTCTTCATTAGAAGAATTTGGAGATTGATAGTTATTAGAGAGAATGCACATGCACTCAGCAACTTTGCATTTATTTTTAGGGAGTTCATGGCCTTCTTAACCCAGACTGAGACTTATGGATCCTGGGGCTGCCAGTAGCCCATATAGAACCATATGCAAGTGAGACAAAGGGTTCTTTCCTCAGGACACTTGACTTCGATCTTTTGGAAATTGATTGTAATATACTAATTTTGTTAGAAAGACATTTTCTTCCATCTACCAGAAAAATTGTCCTAATAAATATGCAAATATATAATGCTCACCATGTGAATGGTATCCCTTTAGATGCAGTGATGTTGTGCAGTGCACAACCTACATAACGTTACATGATGGTCCCCCCAGTCCCCACATCCAGATGAAGGAGTATCTCAGAGAAAAGACTGGTGACTAGTGGTTGACTGTGGATGAGTAGTGAAGTCTATGTTCTATTGGATTGTAGAACTGAGAGATTAGATTTCTTTGAAGCCTCGGGCAGCAAGGCAGAGAATATCAGTTCGGTTGATTGGCCGAATTTGAGATAGTAAATGGCCAAGCAGATGAGGCTGGTTTTATAGATCAGACTGGGAATTGCTGGGAGAGACAGAAGCAAGGAAGGTGAGGCAAGGGCTGAAAACCTCCTTTTAGTTCAAAGTACAGTTTCTTGGAGATATGTTTACTTCTGATTAGAATTCTTTTCTATAAGTAATATGAAGAATTAATTAAATTATATTCTAGTATTTTATGTTTTCTGCCTTGCTCTTAGCCCCGATCTGCCTGGCAGTCCCTAAATGTTCCTTTACCCAGACCTGATGCTGGGACTCGGAAGGACGTGGGCACACAGACTGCTGGCCTGTTCTACCCATCTGGCGCGCTACTAGCCAAAAAGGAACAGGAAATGGCTTCTCAGAAGCAGAGGCAGGAGAAGATGAGTGACCATAAACCTCTCCTCACAGCTGTCAGCCCAGGAAGAGGTGAGGGAAAAGGTACACTTTCTTGTCAGTAGGGAACTCCCTCTTTCTTGGAAAGAAAATTGCATTTTTTCTTCCTTTAGATTTATTTCTATACATAAGTAAATTCCATTGTTTTTCTTTAGGTAATTTTCCTCATAGTATAGCTTTTAAACTTGTAGTATTCTGATGTTTTAATTTTTAAAAAAAGATTTTATTTATTTATTCGAGAGAGAGAGAGAGAAGGGGAGGGGAAGAGAGAGAGGGAGAGAGAATCCGCAAGCAGACTTCCCACTGAGCACAGAGCCTGACATGGGGCTCAATCCCAGGACCCTGAGATCATGACCTGAGTTGAAATCAAGAGCCATGTGAGCCATCCAGCACCCCAGTACTCTGATGTTTTGGTTCATAGCTCCATTGTCTAGTCTGTAAATCAAATAGCATATATGGATTGCTGTTATTACAGTAGAAATGTTAGTCTGTGTCATTATTGCTATCTACCATTATCTTTCTCCTTTTACAATTCTAAAATTCACATAACAAAATCCACCATTTTAACCATTTTGAAGTGTATAGTTAGTGATATTCAGCCCATTAGGAGCAGTATAAAAGCATCACCATTCTGTATGTCCAGAATGTTTTCATCACCCCAAAAGTAGACCCAGTATTCATTTTGCAATCGTGCCCCACATCTCCTCTCCCAGGTGCCTGGCAACTACGAATCTTTCTGTTTTGATGGATTTGCTTGTTCTGGACATTTCCTATAAATGCATCTCCTGCCTGCACATGAGAAACCAGATATCCAGACTCATGCAAAATCTCCCAAGTGTTAAGTGGTGGCAATGATTGAATTCAAATGCGTTTTAAACCCTGTGCAGACTGCAGATAGGCACAAGGGAGCTTTCTGGAGTGATGGAAGTGCCCTTTATATTGATCGGGATATATACGCTTGCTGAAAATCAAACTACACTTAAAAGTTATTTATCTCAATATGGTTAATTTTATTTATTTATTTTTAAAGATTTTGAAAGAGAGATAGCGATAGCATGGGGGGAGCAGAGGGAGAGGGAGAAGCAGACTTCCTGCTGAGCAGGGAGTCTGATGTGGGGCTCGATCTCAGGACCCTGGGATCATGACCTGAACCGAAGGCAGATGCTTAACCAACTGAGCCACCCAGGTGTCCCTCAATATGATTAATTTTAAAAGAATAAAAGAAAAAGACCCCATGTGTGGCCATCAAAATATATTTTTTTGAGATTCTGTACTATTCTGTGATCAGTCATGTGTAAAAAATAAACCTGGGAGCAAAAATGGAACTTATTCTGGTACCTAGTTGAGGTTCAGTAAGTAAAAACCATCACAAAGTTTGGCAAAGAAAAATAACCTGAGAATGCATGTTGCACAGGAACATTTTTCTTTCTTGGCTTCAGAAGAGTTATCCATGAGGATGGGTTTCTTGTTTTTCTTTAGGGTACTGGAGAAAACAGTTGGATCATATCTCTGCCCACCTCAGGTCTTATGCTCAGAACAACCCTGAATTCCGGGCCTTGATTGCAGAACCCAGAATGGGAAAGGTGGGTGAGCTCTGGATGGAATTTCCACTCCAGAGAGTCCCATGGGATCAGGCTGCAGGTTCCCTCCATTGACTTCACCTGAGACTGCACTTTGCTTGGCTCTTTTCCCTTTCATGTCCTGTTTTCCACACTTCCTTATGTCCTTCCCTGCAGGCGCTGCCTTAACAAATCACTTGCACACGAGCCTTGTCTCCGAGTCTGCTTCTGGGCACCTGACCTAAGATAGTAAATTGTGAACATTCCATGCTTTTAGATCCCACATGCTATGGAGACTCTGGTGCTCAGAGCTAAAAAACCCAGAAGAGTTTAGTCTTGCCAAATTGTGCACTTAAATCCAGTCTATATTAGCAGCAATAGTAATCATAAGAGTTGCCATTTCCCAATGCACTCACTATGTGCATTGTGTTCATCAGTCTCTAGGGCTCATAACAAACCTACAAAGTAGGAATATTACTTTTGCAGCAGTTTTTTGTTTTTTTTTTTAATGGCCACAAATTCATTGGTAGTCTTCCCTTCAAAGAGTGGAGTCAGTGTCTTCTCACCTCGAATGTGGGCGGGCTTGTGGCAGTTGGGCTCACAGAGTGTGGTGGCAGTGATGCTGTGGGACTCCTAAGGTGCGGTCCTGCGAGGCCACACTGCTTCCTGTCTTACTGGGCATGCTCTCCTCCAACAATCCTTCTTGGAGCCCAGCCACCCTGCTGTGAGAAGCCCAAGCCCCATGGAGTAGCCACATGTAGGTGCAGCCCTCTGCAACCATAGCTGCACCCAGTCCTCAGGTCATCCTGGCTCAGGAGCCAGGCGGACGAGTGCTGAGAGTCCAGGTCATTCCAGCCTCCGAACATGCAGCCACCTCTAGCCATTTGAGTTTTCCCAGCTGAGGTGTCCGACGCGTGGAGCAAAGACAGTCTATCCCTGCCGTGCCCTGTTGGAAGCCATGAACTTCATAAAATGGTTGTTTAGTGCCACTAAGTTAGGGGTGGTTTTTTTTTACACTGCAGTAGATAATCTGAACAAGCCTTATCTGACACCCAGGAAAACTGGCTCAGAAAAGTTTGGTGACCTGCCCAGGATTGCACTGATGGGTCTCAGGGTATTCAGGATTTGAAGCAGGTCTGTCAGACCCTGTGCCCCAAGCTCTTTCTCTAGAATTACCCCATCATTATAAAGAGCTCTGTGGGAAGATCTCTTCTTCCGTTTGTATAACACTAGAAGGAACCTTTGAAAATCAGCCTGTTTGATCCTCTGCCACCAAATAGGCCAACATTGAAGCTATTTCATTGTCAAGTGCTGTTCAGTTTCCTTTGATAATCTATTTTGGTGGCTTATTCATTCTTTGGCCTAACCCAGGGGTCTGTAAACTATGGCGTGTGGGGCGAATCAGGCCTGCCACCCAGTTTTGTAAATCAAGTTTTATTGGGTCGTGGCTACACTCATTCATTCACTTATGGTCCATAACTGCTCTTGTGCTAAAACGGCAAGCACCATATAGCCCACAAAACCTCAAATATTTACTATCACCGCCATATAGCCCATAAAACCTCAAATATTTACTATCACCGCCATATAGCCCATAAAACCTCAAATATTTACTGTCACTGCCATATAGCTCATAAAACCTCAAATATTTGCTATCTGGTTATTTAAGCATTTGCTGACCCCTGTTTGATTGAAATTCCTCCGGCTACTTACAGAGAAAGCTGCTCAACTCTGAAACTGGGCCCTTGATTGCCAGGGCCTGGCCCCTCAGGACACCCAGGTGATGACATCCAGCCAGGTGGCTTGATTAAATTTAAAGTGTGTCTCTTTAGAGAGTATAAATTTGGGTCTTGCTTTCTCATCCAGTCTGGCAGTCTCTGCTCTTTGATGGGAACGTTAATTTCGTTCATTTACAATTTATAGGATTATAGATATGGCTGGATTGGTGTCTGCTATTTTGTTACTTATATTCTATCTCACTTAGCTTTTGTTCCTTTGTTTTTCTTTTCTTGTCTTCTTTTGAGTTCATTAAATATTTGATTAAATTTATCGTTTAACATCTCAGGATTTCTTGGCTCAGGACATTAAGCCCATGTGCGTGGTTGTGAATTCTCTCCAATGCTTTTTTTAAAAGCTTATCTCCGCTACTGTCCATGAAGATGGCTGTGAAGTTAGCATCCGGCTGAATTATATTCAAGTATCCAACAAGGTGAGTAAAACCTTTAGAAACTATTCATTTGAAAATCGACCACACTAGTAAATTGTAGCTTACACTCTATCAAAGTGCTTCTGTGAAATCCATAAAAGGCATAAATTCCAAATGTTGTAAGACTTGGCTAAAGGCCAATAATTTCATAGAAATAGATAAATAACTGTACTGAACCTCCGAGAAGCCAGGTCTCGGGCACATAAAGATGTAGTAAGAACAGGAATAATTACCCACCCTATCTGTCCTTTGGTTCTCAGGCATACTTATATGCACCAAAGTCTGAGCATAGGTGAAAGACTGACAAAAATGTTTGCCTGTATGTACTTTCACCTATTTACCTATAAGAAATAAACCAAACTTTGTGGCTCTGCCTCACTTGGTCTGCCCTCTTCTGTGGTGACTGGAACTCTGCTACAGTGCCTGCAGTGTGTGACAAACATTGACTGATTCATACTGGCAGCTGTAGTTTCACTGGACCAGAAGTCAGAATATACAAAAGAATAAGGAATGGATTGAGAAGATGGGTAAAGAAGGCAAGAAAAAGCACGGGGACTAGTGTCTATCAGGCCCTGACCATGTGCCCAACAGGGGGCTAGAGGTGTCTTGAAAATTAGGACAGGCACATGGGCTCTGCCTAACTCAGAGGCTGGGAAAATGCAGTCCACTGACACACACGAAAGTGTTTTGAAGTCAAGTCAAGTGCTGAATGCCATGTTTTCAGTTGTGTGGCTACAGCAGAACTTGGGTCAGGGAGGTACATGAGGAGAAGGGGAGTGAGGGACATGAGTCAAGGCAGGGGGAGGAGCTGAGTGGTCATACATAAAGTCTAGCTTCAGCCTGATCCATGAGGAGCTCTGAAGTGTGGCTCACACCATGAAGTTGTCCCAGGTGAGGCAAGGAAAGGAAGGATGTAACCTCTAGAGCAAGGCAGCACCCATCTGTAGAGGCAGTTGGCTAGCTGTGAGGTGTTAGCAGCCCACCCGGCAGCTGGGAGGGATATGCTAATCAGTTAGTGGAACTGGGTGGGCACCAAGAGCATCTACAATACGCTGTCTATCAGATAGAAGTGGAGTAATTATCCCCAGGTTTAATATGTTTTTTCTTAGCCTGTATGTTCTAGTGTTCAGGCAGTAGCAGGTGGTTCCCTGTGGTGGGAGATGCAGCCACGTGAGGGTGGGACAGGATGCCATGCTGTGGAATGGATCCAGGTGGAATCAGAATTCCAGGTCTGGACTGTGCATCATCTATCCTAATTTTATAGACCTCCATTTTCCCTGTTTTACTTTCCCAACATCCCTTTGAGGTAGGCCATGATATTTCCACTTTACAGGTGAAGAAACTGAGGTACAGAGAAATTTAGCCACCTTCTTCCAAGGTCCCTGAGCTAATAAGTGATAGAGCCAGGGTTCAAACTCTGTAGCCTGAGCTTCCCCATCTTGCCACTCTTATTCCAAGACATGGAAGGGTTTGAAGCAGGGGAAGAACACCATTACTTATAAATTGTAGAAAGGTGACTGGAGCAACCCACGTGGAAGGTGGGCTGGCAGGAGCCGGTTGGGAATCGCTTGCAGGGATCCTGGTGTATGAAGAGGGGGCTGTGGCTATAATGACAGAAAGGAGGGGCCAGGCTGAGGAGCCACTTAAGAGGCAGAACGGACGAAACGTCCCAGTGAGGGGATGTCCAGCTTCCGGCTTGACTATATGTGTAGACAGAGTGGTCGTTAATGAAGAGAGGAACAGGTTAGCAGGGAGAGCACTCCTTCTGTGGGGACACAGCAGCCTCATCAGTCACGGTGCCTATGTTTTTTCTGTTGCCCAGAACCTTTACCTGAGCAAGGCCGTGGATTTCAGCAGCCACTTTCTGAGCAGTGTCACCAAGGGTGGTGATGGGCCATTTGGCAGCAGGTCCAGCTTGGGTGAGTTGTACCCTTACAGTGATTTTAAAACAGTCGACCAGGAACACACTGACCTGGCAAGGACAGCAGGGAATTGCTTAAAATTTGCCAGCCCAACCACACATCTTCCTTTAATGTTCCAGCCATTTTATTCTTCTGGTGTCTCTGAAGTTAGGAGTGAGATTTTTGAAATCTTTCACGGGCTTGGGAAGGTAGGTTGTGGGGGGTGTTTTATTTTGGGCTTAAAAAACCGTAGTCCCCTTTTCTTCCCCTCCTTCCCAGTCATCCTCTGGTCCTGGACTGAGATGAGTGGCTTCAGGAGTCCTTCTTGAGAGGGTCAATAAAATAGACATTTCTATACAAGCCATTTTATTCTTCTGACCTCTCGAGGGGCATGATAGTAGGATAGCTCTTTATATGTGGGAGTGGCAGGGGGGCATCGTTTTAGTCCTTGATTCTGTCATTTCAGTGAGTGACTACAGCCAGAGCACCTCAGACACCACTGAAAAAGTCAAGAGGACAAAGAATTTCAAGACCAAAAAGTTTCAAGAAAAGGAGCAGCTCACAGTATGTGTACTCCTTTGTCCTTATAGCTGTCTTCTTAGGCCTATCTGTTGAATGTTTTTTTTTTTTTCTGTTGAATGTTTTACTTTGAGATTTTTTTTTTAATTTTACTTCATTTTATTTTATCTTGTTTATTTTAGTCCATTCCATTCCATTTTTTAAATTAATTAATTAATTTATT